TAGTGCTTTTGATTACGATAATTTCAACGATGCTGTAATTTGGTTAGATAAGAGTGAAAACAAGATATTCGTGGCACGATTTAACGTTAGCCCAGGTAAGAGACATTCAACTTGATACAATAAAATTGAATTCAGGTTGAATTTTCAGTTAAATTAAGATTGTTACCTTTTTAAAGGATTAGATGAGATGAAAATCCATGAGCGTGAAGTAGCTGTTAATGGGACACATAAAATTCATGTATTCGCTTATGATTCGTTGAATAAAGTTATATTCTGGATTGATGACTATGGAATCAGATCAGAAAATTTGTTTAAAATGTTCCGTAAGACACAAGTAAGTTTTAATTATTAAAAAGAGCAGTTCAATTGATTTTTAAAAAGTTTAATTTGATTATTTTCTTAAGCCAATTGAACAGCAACCTAAACTTCTGCGTACTTTGGATCCTTCTTATGAAAGACCTGGATCTATCACTATCGATGTGAAGAAACAGTGCATCTTTTGGATGAATATTCCTGTCAATCCAGACAGACCTTTTGCTACTCCTATATTCATCGAGCGAATCGATATAAGTGATGAACCGAAAACCGAAAAAATAGTCAAAGGCGAGTTCGAACCCAAATGGAACCACCCGCTTGGCTTAGCCATTGACACTAAAAACACCAAAGTCTATTGGATTGATTTAAGGGGTACGGTAAACTCGGTTGGATATGATGGAACCAATCGTATCATTTGGTATAGAAATTTAAACCTAACGTTTGAACTTATATCAATGGACATATTTTCAAATTATTTGTACTTCACTGATAAACCGCGAAGTAAAATCCATCGTATCAATTTAAACAATGGAGTCAGTAAAGCTGATACTTTGGTATCTGTACCTAATGACCCACCTACACGGATTAAAATAATTGACCCGAGAGTACAATTTACGAACTTTGCTCCCATTCTAAAGGGTGGAGCAAAAGCAGAGTCACAAATTATTGATCCGATATCTTGCCTGAATTTTGGCCACGT